GTCTTATTTCAACTGTATCCCTCAAAGGGATGTGGAGGCAGGGCTGGGGATATGGGTGGGGGTGAGTGGCTAAGAAAAATATAACATACATCCTCTTTAAATGGACATTAGCACCACCTTTAAATATATTTATCATTACTCTCTTCTAGAGAGGTCACTACATATTGAACAAATTCCTGGGATCCCTGTGAGTCCCGTTAGAGCTTCCTAACACATTTGGACTCATTCTGTAAACTAAGTCTAGGACTTCTGCTGGGTTTTTTTTTTATTATCACGGTATCCTATCCCTCTAAATACTCAGAATTCCAGGGTCTTCTCCAGTTCAAGTTTTTTATTAATTTTTATTTTTTAATATTAATTTTATGTTTATGAAACATAGACTCACTTTTACAATTAAAAAAAAAATTGAGCACATCATTGACATTTCCTCCCTTGCCTCATGGTTCATCAAGGTTAAGGTCAGGAGAGGGATAGGAGAGTCTTTCTTCTGAGAACCTTGCACTAACCCAAACTGTAGGAAGCATAAGACAAGACAGCAAGAGTCATTGCCAGATTCTCCTGTCTGATTGTCGCTCTCTATCCTTACAGGTGATTGAGACAACTTTGACCTTAGGAACCATATAAAAGAGCATTAGAGATTAAGAAAGAAAAAAGAAAAAATGAGCAAGGCCCATGGCAGGATCTCTCTTTTTTTAAACTTCTGGCATTATCCAAAGCCCCCAGCCAGCATGAGTAGCAAGAGAGGAAAGCCCTCATAGATCTTGAGGTTAGATAGCTTGTATTTGCTGAGAGCTCTTCCCTGATGGCCACCTTCATCCAAATGTATCTTTCTCTATAGGAAACATTAAAGACTCAACCTGATGCACTGTCCTTGGAGTCCCCATATCTATTCTGGCTGGAATTTCCCAAAAGCTGGTGGGAGAAAAGTCCTGGCCACTGACAGACCAGGTGTGTACAGACAACACCTGGGTTAGAGTCAAACCTAGTGGTTGGTGTCTTTTCTGGTACTGTTGGAGATATTGTGGTTATTAGATGCTAGAATAAGCTATTCAGGAAGGCTCTGAACACCATAAAAAAAACCAGGATCTCAAGTGTACTCTATTTGTCATCTTGCTTGAAGACAGAGAACTAGAATAAATAATGACTTAATGTCACTTAGAGTTTTGCAATTTTTCTGAATTGCCATATTTTACCAGGATCTAGGGTATTCTATGGGATATAGCTTTTACAAGTTTGGGGTTTGTGGGCTCTACCCCCACCAGACTGAGAAGGAAACTGATTTGTGATTGAGTAAGCCTGCATGAAATGAAAACTTAGACAACCCAGTACCAAAAGGGTACTTTCTAATGCCTGCTAAGATTGTAAACTATGCACTTATACCTCTATCCCCTCTTTTGGGGTAAATCTGGGCAAATTGCTCATGCTGCCACCGTTTATTGATCTGCTGTAGCCAGACTTAAGGTGAAAGAGGCAAATAACAGAAGGGAAAGAAAGAACTGCTAAGATATCTGTCCACTGTCTACCTACAAGTCATAATACTGGAAAGGGGATATGGCCCAGAGCATGGAGACACAGAAGTAGACATTTTAGTATTTAGGAATAATGGACAAGGGTTTTTTTTTTTCCCTTCTCCAATCTAACTTACGCCTTGAGTCTTGTTTGCACCTACTGCATAAAGTAAAGAATGTTAGAGAACAACAGCTCACCTCCAGTAGCCAGAAGGTTATCAACCTAGCTCCTTGCTGGGCTAATAGTAGAGGGCAGAACCCACCATGGTTTCACCAAATGAATAACCTGAAAATGCTAACACTCCAAATTGCAACCCATTCTAATGGAAATATCCTTAGACAATCTCTGTGGACAGAGAAGGCCAAGGGAGAATGGATGGATCTACTGCTGACTTGCTCTCCATAGGAGATCCCTAGGTCTGAAGGTTATTCTTGTCCATCCTTTCTCAAGAAAGAAGAGGGCAGAGAAAGGAAGGAAAGAAACAAATATTAATGAAGTGCCAGGTACTATCCTAAGCACTTTACGAATATTATCTCATTTGATCCTCACAAGAACCCTAGAAGGTAAGTGCTATTATTATCCCCATTTTACAGTATATGAAATGGAGGCAGACAGAGGTTAAGTGACTTGCCCAGGGTCACACAGATAACAAGTGTCTGAGGTTAGGTTTTAACTCAGGTCTTCCTGACTCCGGGCGCAGTGCTCTATCTATGGCATCATCTAACTGCCCCTAAAGAAAACTATTTCCCCCTTTCCTCTCAGAGCCAGGATTTTCTATCTTGAACAAGTTCTAGGTGAATTTTGAGGCTAAAGAAAGCATGTGATACAATAATTTTCTTGGAGAAGTGGTAGAAACATAATATTGTTTGATTTTTCTTTTTTAGAGCAAATTTCACCCAAGAATTACTGTTGTGCTCTTTCCAACGTGATGCAGTGGAGCTTTACTGAAGGGTCCCATAAATCACAGAGAAGTTTAGTAACTTGTCTTCTGTCTGCTTGCAAATGTCATCCACCCATGCTTCCTAAAGATCAGGTCTGTGTTAGGGAAATGATGCTGGTGTGAAATCTGAGTCACTAGGACATGAAATAAACCACCCCCACTGATCCACTTTTTGGGGTGGGTGATATTAATGAATCATTTTAGTACAATAGAGAACAAACTTGAACAAATAACTTCAGGGTCCCCAAAGATATTAGTTTGGCGGAGACTATGATTGAACCAGATTAACTCCTAAGGCAAGAAGGGAGAGAAGGTTCAAAGTTTGCAATGTTATTTGGTTTTGTGGGAAAGTAAAGTCCCCATAAAGGTTGTGGGATCAGAAGCAAGAGTAGGATGAGAGATAGACTGTCTCTGGATTAAGCAAAATTGCAGTTGTCTTCCATCTTCTTCCCATGTTTCTACTGAATGGTGTTACAGTAGCAGGCTATGGGGTAGAAGGAGGTGTGAACACAAGGAGGTGTGGACTTAGATCTTGGCCCTGGATTCGGCCACAGCTAAGTTTACAGAGAAATATACATGTGTAACCTCATAACAATTAATTCAAAACTAGCTCATGGTAAGACCATGTACCCCTATAGCCTACCTGAAGTCTCATGTGTTTAGGCATACTTGAATACCTACTGCATGCACAGAACTAGGAAATATGGCCTTGAGGAAAGACTACTAGAGTGAGAGTCAGGATACCTGGCTTCCAGTCTTGGCTCAGCTACTAATGACTTTCATTTATTCCATCATTCAACAAGCATTTATTAAACACTTGCTATTTGTAAAGCATGGTGCTAGATATTGTGGGCATGAAGACACAAAAGCAAACAATCTGGCTCTCAAGGAACTTACATTCTACTAGATAAATGTTTGTTGAATGACTGAATTACCTTGGACAAGCCAGTTGACTTCTCTGTACTTCATTGTCCTTATCTTTAAAAATAAGAGGGCTCAATTAGATGAACTCTGAAGCCCTTCCCATTTCTTAAATTCTTAAATTTTAGATTGGGATCCCTAATTTAGATTAATTTAGATTAAGGGATCTAGGAAAGTGGGCTCATGTGTACCTCTATTGTCAACTAAATTAATTCAGTCACTTAAACGGAAGTGTCCCTAGTTTGTTTATTATTGTTAGTGGTAACATTACAGTTTAAATGGCTAAGGGGCTTGGGTTGGGTTCAGGCTGATATTTGAGCACAAAGGAAAAGATCCAGCCTTTTGTCATGGAAAGATATAGTTTGAGAAGTTCCATAGGGAAGCCTAAAAGATCATGAAGACATATAAATGTACATTGACTTGTTCAGAAAATCCTGGAATGCTAAAATCAGTATTCTCTGATAATATCACTAGTAGGCACTCTGAGCAATTAAATATTCCATTTTTGTTGTATAAATAAACATTTTGTGGCTTGCTATGTATCCAAGCAAAGAATTAACAAAAAGATCAGCAGAGAAAAGCTCCTGGTTTCTTTTCCTTCTTTCCTCCACTCTTCTCTACCCCTCCTAGGGAAGATCTAACTTTATTCTAATAAAATATGGTCCCAAGAATCATCAGCATACACTCCTGAAAAGGTTTAGCTAATGGTGTTTTGTTTTGATTGAGCTAAAATGAGTTAGTCCCTTTTCTTTACTGTCTTTCAACTTGTTCATGTGTAAAATGGGCAGAATACAAATGAGCTGTGTAAAATGGGTGATAGTCTTCCATGAAAAAGGCTGTAGAAAGAGTTAATTTTCTTTATGATAGGATATAATAGGATTTTATTCAAATGAAAAGTACTATTAAAAGGGATGAACACATAGGTTTCAGGTGAAACATCCCATAATTTCCTAAGGGCTTTTCCTTTAATGTTTATCTGGTACCCAACCTTGGGATGGAGCCTGGCTTCTCCCAGGTACCTCCAGTACAAAAGTAAAAGTGAGCCATTTCAGCCAGATAGGACATGTCAGGAATCAAAGGCTAGCCTGCCTGCATGTAAAAAAGACCACTTTGGCTTCTAGGTTTTGAGCTAATCAGATCTGAACAGTCATGTTTGAAGAGAGTAAGAGTACAACTGAGATTCAAAATGGTACCAGTAAGAGTTAGAGTCACCAGCTAAAGGGAAGCTTGGCCAGATGTTCCTATCAGTGGCCTGAAATGGTCAAAGGTTTAGCCTCAAAGGTCTCAGAAACCCAAAATCGTGAGGACAGGAAAAATCTCTTGCTGTCTAGCAAATCACCAAAACCTTACAACATAATTGCTTTTAGCCCTCTAACTACTATAGGTTTCAATAGATCCTGCCATAGGATTCCCTGCCCATGAAAAAAAACAACAAAAAGTTAAGGTAGGGAGTCAGGAAAGTTTAGAAGTGGAAAACAGCTCAGAAGTGTCTGATGACCTTGTACACCTGTGATGGAGCCAAAGCAGAAGGTTAAGACAATCATGAGAAACATTTGTAAAGAGTATTCCTAATGAAAGAGGAAAATGGAATGGGTCTGTGGTGGGGAGAGAGCAGAGAGAAGGTACTTACACAGTTTCATCATTCTTGAATTCCAACTCCCCATAGGTGTCTTCAAAGTCCTCACCACCACCCTTGGCGGTCCCTTCCACTGTCCTAAAGGGGATGATGACTGTGCCCCTGGCACCCGATGTCCGGAGGACCTTGACCTCCATGACACCAATGCTCTCACTGACATGAATGACATCGCACTCAAAAGTGAAGATGCCTGCATGATCATCATCCAGAATGGTGACTGTAGCCACAGAGGGGGAGGACAGCACTGCCCTCGGCAAGGGCAGGTTGTGGATTGTGCCAGGGGGTAGGCCCTCATCTGGCGGCTCCTCCACTATGCGAACATTGCTGAGCCTCACAAAGAAATGTTCATCCTCCTCAAAGATGTCATCATCAATAATGCCAACAGAAAATTCCTTTTGGGTTTCTCCTGGCTTCAGGACCACCGTGCCTTCTGTGAACTCATAATCAGCCCCAGCATTGGCAGAACCGTCTTCCGTCTTGTAGTCCACGTACACAGTCTTGGAGGTATCACCCCCTTTCCGCACCACAGTCAAGAGGACAGCTCCACAGTTCTCCAGGCACTGGTAGGAGCACGGATCAAAGAAAACTTTGGACACAAAATCCTCAGGCTCATGGGTGTGCACCTGGCCCATCCTGGAGGATCTCTTGGCTCGTTCCGCTGCATGTTTCTTCAGGATGTTGCCTGCCCCGGTCATCATACGGGTGGCTTGGATCCGGTAGAATGCTCGGCTCTTCTGCTGATGGGAAAGGGCACAGTAGTTGGCCATCTCCACCAGCTGCTCCAGATCCTTTTCTGGGTGCTTTTGTTTCAGGTCCTTGAGAATCCGAATCATTTCTCTGCGAGACTCATCCACTTCTTTCCCTTCCATCATCACCAGGCTCCCATCTAGGAAGTGAGAATTCATCATCTTCCCATCCATCTCAATGCCCTTGGGATGGTCACCCTCTGTCTCTATGATGATACCTCGGTGCTTGTCTGTACGGTATTTTTTGTGCATATACTTGTAGAAGAGTAGCCGTCTGTCTGCCATCCAGGCCAAGAGGACGCATATGGGAAAGAAGAAGAGAGTGAGCAGGCCCTCCCACACCTGAACCACGCCTGGTGAAAATACCGCCAGGATCATGTACAGCCAGATGTAGGCGAAGATGCTCCATGCAGCAGTGATGAAAAAGACCCGAAGGTGTTTGATTTTCCGGGTCTCCCCGTCGGGGATCACATAGACACAGATGCCTATGATGATGAACATATTGAAAGCTGCACTGCCTACGATGGTAGAAGGCCCCAGGTCTCCGGCAATGAACCCGTGACCACACACCTCAATCAGAGACAGGAGAATCTCTGGGGCAGAGGAGCCCAGAGCCATCAAGGTCAGATTGGAGACAGTTTCATTCCAGACCCGAATAGTAGTTGTACTGGTCTCTCCATTAGGCTTCTTGATGGTCACCTCCCTCTCCTGAGAAGTGATGACCTCAATCGATGCCATGAAGCGGTCAGCAATGATGGACACCCCAAGGAACATGTAGATCAGGGCCACAAAATAAACGATGACCCTGGCAATCTTGTCCCCCAGGGAAGGGTTCTCCGGGTACCAGATTGGCAAAATGACACCCTCTTTACAGTCTGACGACCCTGAGCAGGACTCATTGTTCTGCCCTGTACTCTCCACATCCCCAGCTGTGTTAGCCTCTGCCCGCAGACCATTGAGGAAGAGTGCAAAAGTAACCAACCCGAAGTGGAGGAAGGCAGAGGTGAGGGGCCGCAACTTTGACCACGCCATACACAAGATTTAGCTGCTGGCTTGCACCACAGCTGCAGGGGTCCTCCTGATGGGCCAGGAACCTGAAATGGAATAGGACAAAAATGGAATTAAAGGTCATGAGATGAGGGGGACAGCAAGAGGCAAGTTCCCACCAAAATGCTTTGATGCTTCACCTTCAAGAGCCAGATTGTGCTAACATATGGGATAGTCTCTCACTTGGAAAAATAGACGTGTCACTAGTCAATCTGTGGTAAAATAGCCGCTCTGCCCTCAGGACCATCTAGTTGAGGTTTAATTGAAGAATAACAAAAAGAAATGGAAATTTTGGAAAACAAGAGGTGTCCCCCTAGCCTTTTGCCCCTCTCCCAGCCTTCAATCAGAGGCAATGTGCTACAGTGAAAGAATAGTGGTCTTGGAGTCAAGAGATATCTGGTTTGAATCAGCTCTAGCTTGAATGATTAGCAAGTCACAGAAACACAGTATTTAGCAATGAAAGGTATATTAACAATCACCTAGCAATCAAGGATTCTTAACTTGGGGTTCCTGAATCTGGTAGAGTTGGGTTTTTTAACATTCTGATAACTATTTCTATGGAACTAGTTTCCTGTATAATCCTATGAATTTTATTTTATGCATTTAAAAGCATTAGTCCATTATGATTCATAGATTTCATCAGACCATCAAAGAGGTCCTTGACACACAAAACAGATTAACAACCTCCAGTCTACCCCCTCAATTTGCAGATGGGTAAAACGAGACCCAGAGATGTTAAATGATCATACAGGAAGCCAGCAGCAAAGCCAAGATTGAAGCCAGATCTTTGGAATTTGAGTCCAGTTTTCATTCCACTGCCTCAGATTATTTAACCTCGCCCTCCCTCAGTTTCCTACTATGTAAAATAATACTTCTGATTCCTACCCCATAAGGTTGTTGTGAGGAAACCTCTTTCTAAGCCTGAAAATACAAGTCTTAAATGTCAGTTCATTATTTTAACAATGTTATACTAATATCAATGGTGAGAATTCTCAGGGAATGAAATCTCAAGTGACTTTTCTCTACCCATAATGAACCCAAATCAGTTCTAACTTGACTAATCCTCATCACTACTCCAATTTTATTCCTGTCCCTGAACATTTATCCTCCTCATTTCACTGAAATAATATCTAATGTAGCCAAATCTGGGTTGGAAATACATTCCCTTTGGGCCATCTTCCTCCACCCATCTCCCTAACTTGGAGGCCAGATCTAAAATCCTCTCCAAATTAAGAAGCGCTATCCGCTGATTTCACTATTGTAGTCAATGTTCATATTTCCTAGATTACCACTGGTGAAAATTAATCTCTTCTACTCTACCTTTGAGTGATATCTGAACCCTGATTCTGCAGTTCATAAAGCTTTGAAGAAGTCCTATGGGTCACAACATCACTGTTGTTATTGAGTCATTTCAATTGTGTCTGACTCTTTGTGACCCCATTTGGGGTTTTCTTGGCAAAAGTACTAGAGTGGTTTGCCATTTCCTTCTCCAGCGCATTTTACAGATGAAGAAACTGAGGCAAACAGGGTGAAGTGACTTGCCCAGCGTCACAGCTAGTAAGTGTCTGAGGCTGGATTTGAACTCAGGAAGTCATGAGTCTTCCTGACTCCAGGCCCTGCACTCTGTGCACACTATGGTACCACCTAGGATGAGCAACAATAGCTGCAAAGTACAGCATCATGGGATCATTGATTTAGAGCTAAAAGGAATCATAGAGACCATTAAACACAACTGCCCTATTTTGCAAATTAGGAAACTGAAGTTTAGAGATAGCAAATAACTTGCTCAGGGTCACACAGCTAGTAAATATCTATGGTAGGACTTAAACTCAGGCTCTCCTCACTCCAAGACCAACACTCTACCTACTATGGTATTTCTGAGCTTTAATACAGTCAACTCTCCATTATCTGCAGCCACGGAGGAGGCAAGAGGTTTAGAGAGTATGACATAGCAGATAATTACAAATTGACTTCATTTTATTCTAAATGAGTTGCCATACCATCACTCAGTTAGAGCTGAAGGCTCAGGGCTCACACTCATCTCCCTCCCCTTGCCTTACTTACCATGTGTCTCTAAACTCTAAACCACTCTATCTCAGTCTCTAGTTGGGGAAATGGGGGAGAGGGGAGGTATGGAGGGAGAGGTCATATATAATCCACAAAGTGGACCACATTCTCATGAATATTTGAGTTGGTTGCATTTGCCCAGCATACACATGAGTTTCTTTGGTAACCCATCTTCTAGATCCGTTTAGCATGAAAGGAAACAATTTGTAATGAAGTAGAACCTGAGTTTTCAGGCAAGCCTAGAGAATTTTTCATAAAGCCCTCCTAAATGGTGGAGAAAATGATGACTCCATGCTGTAACACATTTTGTAAGGCCAACATATAGGAGGAAGCCAACTCCTCAACATGTCCTCAACTTTCCAAGTCTGCCTCTCTTCCTCCATGTATATTGGTTGAGTCAGATCCCAAGGGAGTCTAGAACCACATGTGACCTCTGTCAAAAAAGAAATTAAAGATGTCTGTTCTCTCCAAAGCTCTCACACCAACTCACACAGGTATGCAGTGTCCATTCATTATTCCCTCCACCAGATAGGAGATTCTTATGTAAAATGTTCTAGGTTTGACTGGAAACCCAGGTTGTAAGAGCAATCTATGACAAGAGCAGGAATGAAGACTCCAGAGAGGTGTACAGCCAGTTCCTTAGCACAAACTGGCTGGCTCATGTGTTCTAGGTCTTCCACTTACTCGTCTTAAGTAATGTTGTTGACCTTGTCTCTTGACCTTAATTTCTTTATCTATAAAATGGGGATAGTTCCTACATACCTATTTCACAAAGTTATTGGGAAGGCACTATGGAAACTGCAAAGTGGTACATAAATGTGAGTTATTAATTGCTACTTTCAATTATATGATACATATATAATATAGATTATATTAATAATAATTATTACAGGAGGCAAAAAAGTCACCATGGAATTAAACTGTCTTAACAATATTATCCAACACAATACGGTTCATTTGTTTTCTTATGTGGCCAAAATGTTAATAATAACTAGCATTTACATAATGCTTTAAGGTTTGGAAAGCACTTTACAAATACCATTTCATTTGATCCTCACAACAATCCCTGGAAAGTAGGTACTGTTAACTATCCCCATTTTACAGATGAGAAAACTGAGTTAGAGGTTAAAGGACTTGCCCATGATTACACAGTTAATAAGTATTTGAGGTCAGATTTGAGCTCAAGTCTTCCTTGACTCAGATCCAATACTCCATACAGTGCATCACCTAGCTGCTTTGTATCAGCACCATTTCACTACATTCATTTCTCCCCCTCCTCAATTTTTCTTGCATTATAGTTATGTGTGCTCATGTTGCATCCTCAAACCCCCACCTCTCCAGTCAAAAGTAAGTTCCTTGAGGGCAGGAACTGTTTTGTTTCTTTGAATCTTCAGAAATTGACCTAGTCCTTTTAATAGAGTAGCAAATATTTGTTAAATTGGCATGCACATGAACTAGTAGCAAATCTAGGTCCAAGAAGAGAGCACTTGATAATATTCCATGCCCTCCCTCAGATGACAGCAGAACACGACCCCGAGAACAAACTAGGACAGCTTTGGCTGGTGCCTCCCACCCTTATCTCAGAAAACCCTTCTTGTTTTGGTGCCTCATTCCCATCGTTGTTAAAAATCAGAGCATTTTCAACCTGGATCATAGAGAGAAAACACTTTTTAAATGCATAAGTGCACTTGAATTGGGCAAAGATTGTACCAGATCACTTCTGGGCTCTACCAATGCATCTTTGAGAATTCCCAACATTGGCCCCGCTATATCCAAAAGCAAAAAAAAAAAAAAAAAAATTCAGGTAACATTATTGATGGACAGCTAGGTAGCCCAGTGGATAGAGTGCTGGACCTAGAATCAGGAAGACTCATCTTCCTGAGTTGAAAACTGGCCTCAGAAGCTTATTAGTTGTGTGACCCTGGGCAAGTCACTTAACCTCGTTTGCCTCAGTTTTCTCATCTGTCAAATGAGCTGGAGAAGGAAATGGCAGACCACTCCAGTACCTTTGCCAAGAAAACCCCAAATGGGGTCACAAAGAGTCTGACACCACTTAAATGACTGAAAAACAACATACTGATTTCACTTTTCAATAAGGCACAGGTATCATTTTATTGCTGTTGTTGCTACCTTTTGCTTTTATATCACCTTCATTTCCCAGTCTATCTCTTCCTGTACCCAGAGAATCATTCCTTATAAATAAGAATGAAACAGAAGAGGGAAAGTAAAAAGTAGCTAAGCCCAACTAATCAACATATCAATTAAATCCAATGAATTCCAAATATATGCAATGTTCCACATCTATAGCCCCCTGCCTTTTCAAAGAAAGAAGTTCAGTTATTCTTACCAACCCTGACAAACACAGAATTAAGGGAGCCTGGATTTGATTTCCATCTCATTACTCTACTTGTCTTATGACTGCAGGGAAAACAATTCATTTCTCTAAGGTTTCTCCTCATCTTAAACCACATGCTGCCCTCCCTACCAGATATCAATAAAGATTTTTGTAAAATCTATACATTGTCCCGAGTTCATGTGAGTGGGGGAAAAAATCTCATGGAAAGAGCGTTGGCTTAGGAGTCGAGACCTAGATTCCAGTTCCAACTCTGTAGTAACTAGTAAGAATTTGAACAGATCCCTTTACCTCTCTCTCAGTTTCCTCATCTATTTAAAAAAAAAAGATTGCACTGAGGTCCCTTCCAAACCCCAAGATTTTGTGATTCAATCATTTTAGTGATGGGTTTGTGGAGGAGAAAGGGGCCAGAGAAGGGGATTTAGGCAAAGACACCATGGAATATGTGTTCTAACAACAATCCCCTCCTTCTGCTGGCAGTCAGGATACAGAAAATGGTATTAGCTTCTCTTCTGGGAAAACAACTCTATCCCTACTTCTTAGCCGAATCGTGCTGCTGTCCACAAAAAGTAGCCAAATCCTTGACTCTAAAAATAAATTATTTATAAAAATAAAAGGGCTAGTTTA